GTAGATCTTTATATTTACAACGATACTTTTCCATTAATCCCCTTAGTAGATAAATCGTCTCTGTAGTTGATCTACCTGGCATAAAACCAAATTGATTCTCAGAAATACTTGTCTCCAATCTCAACCTGTGCTCAATTACTTTCTCCCACAATTTCATTGTGTGGCTCATGAGTTTAATCCCTCTATAGTTAGTACAATTCTGAATATCTCCTTTATTTTTATAAATAGGAATTAATGTACTTCTCCTCCACTCATCAGACATTTTCTTGGACCGTAAAATCACATTAAATAACTTAGTTAACCATCTCACCCCTTCTTCACCTAAACATTTCCACGCTTCGATAGATATACAATCAGGTCCGTTACCTCTACTATTTGCCATTTTCTTAAGAGCTTCCTTTACCTCCTTATCACGTGTAACACCCTCAAATTTACAGACCGATTTTTCACAAGTTATTAATTCAACAAATCCTTTTTTTTTATTTTTTTTTTCATTGAACCCTTATCATGGTAGAAAAATTTCTACCACGATACATCCAAGACAATATACCACAGGTCTTAAAATATCTAAAAAAAACAATTAGAACTATGAGGGACAGACATGATCCTCATAGCATGTTATTCAAATCAGATCATAAATCAAGAGGGACAGACATAATCCTCTTGGTCATATAAATACTTTTAATAAAAAGGATTACAGTTTACATGCTTCACAAAGAAGATATGTCCTAAGTTGGCACAAGATACATTGTATAATCTAAAATAAGAGGCAACGTAAAAGATGGTGTCTCATACACCACAGTTACACCTCTGGTGCTTTCTCGGCCGGACTCGCTCCTGTAAAAATATTAACCACGGGGAATGAGACTTAAAAGTCCCAGTAACCAAAAATTAATATGTAATGATGCATGCGGATGTAACTAATCATGCGATTGCTAAGTGGGCACACAAAACATTTAACCGAACAATATTTTCAAACAGACCGAACAAGTATTTAATTGCATGACTGCACCTTATATCCTCCTTTCACCATGCTCGGACGCCAAATCACCCGGCCAAAGATGAGTTGGACCAAGCGACACGCCACTCATTGGGTCCAATGAGGGCTTACCACGTGGTAATAATTAACCGAACAGAAATTCCCATTAACACCATACATTAAAATACCCTGACAAGTCATGCATCATTCAAATATCCAAACAGGAATATATCCGAACAATAATATCTCATCATGATAAATAAAAAATAAATTTTTAACCCACTTGGCAATAATTTCAAACAAGTATGTACAGTATTTATTTTCAATAATTCATAATTTTTCCAAACAACAAAACAACACATAACCATTCACAAACACACTCATCACAACACATTAATAATGGTTACCTTGTGTCTTGAATAACAAGTTCCCCTTCACAACTCCTTTTTCACCACTATCTTTGTCAATATAATCTACATAATTATTTCACAATACTATATATTAATTTTACATTAAAATAAATAACTCTAATTTAAATAGTTAGAAAGTCTTAGATCTATAATCCATATTAACACTAATTTAAGATTTATGCCTCATTTAACTTCCCAAATTCTTTTCTAAAATTCTCGTACCCTAATAAACTATTTTTTTTATCCTCAAATCACTTCTAGTATCACAATTTCATCCTTCTATATTCTAAAAATTCGTTCAAAAATAAATTAAATTTTAAAATTATCCTGAAGCCTCAAATCACCTTTCTATAACCTCAAAAATACCTATTCATACTTAAATAAATATTTAATAATTATAGGTTTATCCCTACATCTCAGATTCCACATAAATTCAACCATATAGATCTAGATTTTAACTCAAAAATTCTTAAACATGAGTTTCAACCTCAAGAAAATATTCTATAATATTTATTATATCCCTAAGAGTTTTAACCTATATTTTTAATCTATCATATCATCAGATTTACTATCCTATAGAAAAAATCCTAATCAAAATATTTACTCTATCCTACAAAATAATCATATCACTAGAAAGCTAATATTATTTAAAAAATAACTATAAAATTAATTTTATAATTAAATAAATTTTTAAATGCTAATCTAAACAGGAAAGTTAGAACATACCTGAAGAAAAAGAAAATAATCCCCCCTTGCGAGAAAACGCCGAGCAACGTGAGAGGAAGAGAGAAAAATAATATAAAAATGGGATTGTGAGTCCCAAAATTATATAAAAAAACTATAGGTTTGAATTTAATTATTCAAACCTTTGGGCCCAAAGTTGCAATTTTCTCTAAATTGCATCTTAGCCTCTCATGCTTCCTAATGCACACACCCCCTCCTTTTTATACATGAAGGCACCTCTTCTCTTCCCTCATCTAACCAATGTGGGACTTAGAAACAACAACCTTTCACCCCCCCCTTTTTTTTGTTCCTTCTACCTTCTCTTTTTTTTTAACACACACATAAAAAAAAATTATTTATGTATTATATCTTAACTAAATATTGCTTATGTGGTTTTAAATTTAAATTTTTAAATTCATAATTAAATACCTAATCATAATATTATTTCTAAATAACCTCAAATAATATAAATTCCTATTATTATCATTTTTTTTTCCTCAAAACCTAAATTCCACAATTTCTTTATTATATAAAAATCAGGATGTTACATCACGTATTTTTCAATAGAATGACAAATTTTGTTCTCCTTCACCAGTTACTAAATCCTCCAAGTTACTAGATGAATCCTCTCCATCATTGAAAAGTTTAGAAAAATAAATCTCCCATCTATTTTTAATTTCATCATCTGTAACTAAAATTCTTCCCTCTTCATCCTTAATACACCTTACCTGTTCTAGATCTCTTGATTTTCTTTCCCTACTTTTGGCAATCTTATAAATATTTTGCTCTCCTTTCTTCGTCTTAAGATTCTTATAAAATTCTTCAAAAGCTTTGGAACGAGCTTCACCCACAGCTCTCTTAGTTTCCTTCTTAACCATACGGTACCTCTCCCAATTTTCCTCATTGTTACACAAATGTATGGCTTTAAAACAGTTCTTCTTATACTTAATTTTGTCCTGTACACTATTATTCCACCACCAAGACTCCTTATCTCTCGGACCAGAACCTTTCGATTCTCCCAAAACTACTTTTGCAACCTCCTGTATCTTTTTAGCCATATCCTCCCATATGATGTTAGCACTTCCCTGAGAATCCCAAATTCCTTTATCCAAAAGATTTCGCTTGAAAATATCTTGCTTCTCACCTTTTAATTGCCACCACCTAATCCTTGGTGTTACTACTTGTCGACGTTTTTGGATTTTACTCATAATACACACATCAAGGACTAGGACTTAGAGAAATAATTATCTAATTTCTACCTTTAGAACCAAAAGGAATAACATTCAAGGTTAATTTGAACAAAAAGGTAAAATTATTTTTACGCAATCTTCTTCTCGCCTGAGCCTTAGCTTCCATAATACCTGTAATTAATGCTGGCTTGTAATGATAGGATTTTATAAAGGATGATATGATGCAATTCACTGATTTCTATTAGCAAATTTTCTGCACACCTGCACATTCCAAGTCTCAGGATCGTTTTCTCGAGTCACGTGGACATTTGTATCATCATCAACACGAATAGATGGTGTGATAATCCATGACATTCGATCAAGCCTAAGCAAGGCATCATCACGCCAATTTGCAACCTTGTTTAGCCTTATGTTAAGCTATTTTTTGGCTTTCCTCCATCTTTGCTCAAAATTAGTTAATATATCATATGCAGCTGGCCCCTCAACTTTGCAATGCAAGTCATGCCATGGTTCTCTTGGTCCACCAGTATAACTCAACTGTATCATACACAAAAACTAAATCAACATCACTTTTGCAAATGTCCATTTAAACAATCTTTTCCTTCCTTTCCTGGTGGATAGTCTACATTCCTGATCTTTTTTCTTTTTGGCAACTTCACGTTAATGATAATCCTTTTGCCCTTTGTTGGCCCTCTCTGCCTAACAATGGCGAACCTTTTCATTTCAGCAGAAATACTCCATAAATGCCTATTGCTAAAAAAAAAAATAATAATAAAATATCTTGACTTATTTGTCTTTATTAATTATCTTATATTTCATAAATGTCCATTGCTAAAAAAAATAAAATAAACTCTCATGCTCTATCTTGCCATGGATCTTTGCTTTTGTTACCTTCAAACTTACACGGAATGCATCTTCTCCAGCAAGTATTGTCCATGGTTCATCAAAGTCTTCATATAAATGAGGGCTTTACTTTTGTTTCACTCAATTTGCATCCAGGCCCATGAAAAATTGCAATATACTACTTTAAGCCATGTCGTGGATGAGTATATGTGTTTTATTATTTTTAGTTAGGCTCACAAGTCTCAACTATTATTTAACACAAGTATATATATTATACTTTAGATATATTTTTATTTTCTAGTTGGTGTTGAATTCATTTTTCATTGCGGTTGACATTGGATTTAACCTAAACAAATTCATTGCAATTGGCACAAAAATTAAAAAAATTTTATGATATAAATTAATTTATATAAGATAAAAGGAAAAAAAAAAAGAGCTAATATATGTGGGTAAAATAATAAATTAGTCATTATCTTCCCTCCCCTCCCCTCTCCTTGAATCAAATAAATTATCATTAAAAACTTCTATCCTCCCCTTAAAAAAAACCAAATAATATAACATAAAAATCCTCCTCTCCCTCCACCCGAACCAAATACAACCTAAACACATCATACTTTGTATAAAAACATAAGATAGTAGATTAGCCTCTTACTTTTCGAGGATGCACAAGACCAATCCACATACGGTTAAAATCATCCCATTGATTTCTAAGAACTATACCCGAGCAATCACCGGATAAGATAGTGGGCTTTTCTTACTCCTATTACTACTCATTTTATTTCATTTCTCATGATATCCCATCCACTTATGATTGGCATCTGATATACAAGAATTCATGCATGACAATCGTTCCAGTGAGAAATGAGACGGGCAATATAGCATTTACAATCTCAATCCACTCAATGCAACACAATTTTACTAAGACGAGTTGCAAAGCAGACAAACTGTGTTAGTGCAAACTTGTACAGACTTGAATACTAATTACTCTACAGTACCATATCCGCAGTCCAAATACTCATGCTATGTTACAACTTACGACAAGATATAGATATGTTAAGGAAAAAGGCATGGAAATTACCATCAAGAAATACCATATCTAGTGAACGGATTGATCAGAATCTTCAGATGTGACGTCAGACTCTTCGCCCACTTCGTCTTCAATTTCATGGTCTTCTATTACTGAGGCTGACATCTTGGTCAACGCCGCTGTTTTGCTTGCTCTCTGCGATCGACTGTTTACCGGGTGGTGGGCGGTGATAGAAACTTCAGAAGCAGGCGAGAATTCTTCATCATCCTCCGAAGAGTCATGCTCAATCCTCACCTTTCTTCTAGAACGTGTCCCTCTAGTTGGGCGCGTGGCTGGTGTTTGTGGCATTGCAACAGGCCCAACAAGATCTAGGTCGAACTCAACTTCCAATTTCCCTTCAATAAATTTAGTGGGAGAAAGAGCAAGTTACCAACATGGAAGCCAAAAAAGGTTTAATACTGCATAAAGAATCCAATAGACCAGCAGATTGGCTAGCACGAAGCTTAGTTTCATTTCGTAAGACGCTCAAAAAGTGAATAAGGAATACAGATATCAGACGTGAAATATTAAGATCAGAACCAGCATGCAAAAGACGTAGTTGCTACTTACTACAGCATTCATAGTTTTAAATTGGACAAGTCAAGAAAGGTGAACCAAAGGGTTGGCACAAGAGAAAAAATGAGTATTACCCAGAATGAGATTAACTTCGGCTTGCGGCAATTCGTCGTCTGGTTGTTTATCTAGAGTCATGAGACGCTCCGCCATCCGCTTCAAATCTTTTCCAAGATCTTTCTCTGACAATGCACTTCCAACCACGCGACTTAAAAGCATCCTCATGAATTTTATTGGCCCCTGTTCTGATATCCGGAAGCGAAGCATGACAAGTGTTCTAGCTAATGCCGACACATATGACTTCTCAGCAGCTGTCTTCTTCGAATGAAAGCTTGCCACCTTAGAAAAGGAAGCAGCGAGTAAGAAGAAAAGAAGAAATAAATAAAAAGGAAGAGCACCGTTAATTAGTGTAGGATCCTGCAACGTATTGCCAGACTACTATTTGAACAAAAACGCAGATGGTAACCAACATTCAATTGGTAATGACACAACTAAACAGTTTGTTTCTCCTCTGAATTTGCAGGACACCAAGAAAGAAACTAGTAATGGAGAAGCTCAACAAAATGAAGAAAAGCTCTCTGCGACTACATGATGCAGGGATCTTTTTATTTATTTATTTATTTTGGGGCCAAAGCAGTCAAGCAGGGGATCTTTTTCATGAACCGTTACAAGCTTCAACATATGTATATTCACCATAATTATTAATGACTACATTACATAATAGCTTAATAATTTGAGTAGAAAGTTGAAAGTGAAACCACAGTATTAACACTCAAGAAACGAAATGAAGAGAAAGCTTTACAATATTTCAAACAAACTTAGAATTCGCTGAAGGTTACCTCAATGGCTATGCGTAATGCAAGCCCCTCCTCATCACACTCGAAAGGCACTTCTGTACCATTATTTTCACTCTCCGGTTGAGTTTCTTCAGTGTACAAAGGGAGCTGTATCATCTGCAGCATGAATCGTGAAGCTTGCACAGCACGTTTACGCATCTGAGACACCACAAAACTAGAACCTCCAGAGTTGCCATCTATTCCTGGCCACATCGAACGCATGACCGGAATGAAAGCTTTGGATGTGCACTTCTGCACTTACACAGATGAAACAATTAAGGCCTTGGATATGACAAGAAAAATAATAATAACGACTGCAAACAAAAGACACATTTAGACGTGATATCAGCAGTGCTTGCCTTGTGATTGGCTGAGAGACATGGGTAGTGCTCAAAAAAGACAGATAGACACTGCTTCATCCTGGTGAAACAATGAAAGAGTAAATTTTAATTGGCTACCAGTACAAGATGACAACATTAGAACGTGGGGGGAAATATTTAGTGGCGCACAATCTACCTCCGTGATTCTGTTTCATCGCTGAAAAACAAGGTGATGAGCTTCGATAAAAGCACAGGATGCAAAGAAGCCGGTATGCTCGGATAATGCTGACTTAGAAGAAGTATTTTCGCAAACCCTTCTCCAAGAACAGCATGAACGCACTCATCTTCGTTGCAAGTCGAAAGATTGCCCCAATCACATTTTTCAAACCCACCATATAACAGGTCGAGCATTCCAACATTGAGATCGCCTTCAGAATCAGAGAAGTTCACGGGACTGAAAATATTCTTGTCACACTGGATTTGGCTTGCATGGTCGTGCATCAACAACCTGTCAATTTCTTGAGGACCATGCCACATCCCAAAATCAAATAATGCTTTGCACGCCTCTATGCTAATTGCGTGTGGTCCTTTAACAAACGAAACCCTCAGTTGTTTAACAAGTTCTTCACTTGGCATTCGCTCCAGCAACCCAAAAAGACCGAGACATCTGATAGCAACCCTTTGCACATCTAAGTGAGCATGTTTTGCCTGCAGCTCATTTTTCATATTAGAACATAGTTATCTGTGCCGTCGAACAAGCTTCTTATCAACATTTAATATTGTTATAGTCCATGGATTTCAGTCATCCGTAAGAATACAAGTAAAAGAAATGCTGAAGTGAGTAAGGAATCCTCCAATGTCCCAACTTTTCAAGGACCACATGTACAATAAATGGAAAAGAAAAAAAGGAAGAAAGCTAGATGAGAAAAATTAGTTACCCCCGGAAGCAATAAAGATTGTAATAGCTCAATAGCCTTGCCCTGAAGATAGCGGAATGACGTCACATTTTTCAGCAACAGGCCAGTAAGCGAAAGGCTGTGTATCCATTGCACACAATCTGCCGTTCTCTCCCTGCAAGGTTGAGCTAGCTCTTCTACGAGTGCAAGAACAACTTCTTCAAATTCACCAGGAGCAGCATGAACTTTCTTTGCCAAACTGGCTATGGCTTCAGCCCAATCATTGTCTCCCCCAAAATTTAATCCATCTCCTATAACAACCACATTCCCTTCATTATCATCCTCATGATCAAGAGGCTTGCGCATCAGTTCTTGTAGAAATGCACTAGCAACCTTTCTATTCGTCACATCAGAAAAATCGAACATGGCACCGAGCAAAAGTAGCTGTCTGCATGCGAAGCGATGGTTTGATCCTGTGAATATCATATTTCAGACCGATTCAGCATGCAACGAAGAGTTGAATGTATCATACCAGTAGCTTCAACCACGTAAAGTTATACCTACCAGCATCATTGTGAGCTCTAACTAACTCTATGTAATCATTAACTGTTGCAGGAAGTATTTGTTCCAGAAGGTCATTTTTATCTGATGCTTCTGCTGCATATACTTCTGCTTCAGTGCCCATCGTAGTGGCAGCTTCAGAGCCTTTGGCCTATCATGGTTCATGTTTAAATCGTTACTGGTTAAGAAAAGAAAATCACAGCTCTAGTATTGTAATTAAAATGATTATAGTTCAGTAACTAGAACGACTCAAAAACAAGAGAGCGCAAATGCGTTGTCCCAAATATTTGAACTGGATGGCAGAAAAATAATCTGACTATTAAATTGCTCTCTAAACATATTCTACCTACTATACATGGATAGAAATGCTAGCAATATTTGAAATGCCGAGTCCTATAAACGTGTGGTCAGACTGAAATGTGTAAAATGCACGTGAAAAGAAAGGAGGATCACTGCATAATCAAGTGAAACTATAATTTGTAGGAGGGAGTAGACTTTGGCACAGAGTTTAATATATCTGTTAGTGGATTCTTAAACAAAATTCTGACGTGTAACAAATTCTTTACAAAGCCAAGCCATGTCACGTTGAAATGTGAAAACTTCATGCTTATTTATCAAAATGAAATGAAGTCAAATTATGTCTCCACTCCTTTCTTTGAGCTCATAACAGAACTGAAGGTAAAGAAATATGGGATACAAATATACCCCTTCCAACTCACATGTGCTTCTGACTGCAAATGCTTGCATACAACTCTCCAGTATAATGCGACCTCTGCTTCCATCAGCTTAATATTCGTTGGGCAATGGACTTCACTCCCTATAATGAATAGAGAAGCAATGAAGACAATGTACAACAGCTAACCAGGATTCAATTCTGCTTAGCTTAGAAGTTCTATAGTACAGACAGGCTCTAAAATAGTATTAAGGAAACTAAATAAATAGAGGCCTACCTACCTACGACTTTCTGTTGATTTCATGACAAAGCATTTGATCTCACACATCAGAGATAATTTTATTTCACATCATATTATCCTAAGAATATGTATTCATCATCATAATCAGCATGTCTTCCCAAACACAAACATATTTGAATAATTGAATCAATCAAGTAACAAGAATAAATGGCGAAACAAGTCTATGAATCTTAAGAAGCGTAGCTAACCTCCTGTGTTGTCATTTTTTGGGGATATATACTGCCGAATGCTGGAACCGTTTCCCAGTTTTAAGATACCGGCTTTTAGAAGCGCCTCAATAACCGACTCGCCAACTGATTCATAGGTTTCAACGTCAAGATATTTGAGAAGTTCAAAAGGATCTCCATTACAGCACTTTGAAAGCCATTCATCTTTCATTAGTCTGAAACATTCCTTTGAGACAACACTAGAACGGTCAGCCAGTCCTCTCCGAAGAATTAATGTCCTCAATTTAATGCTGCAGAAACCGAAATTAACAAAATGTTAAAAAAAGTTAAAAAGAGGAATGATTGCAATTGGGACAATAAATATCCGCTCTAGTCTATAAGCTACAGGATATATAATATGAAAGAATAGAGATGAAATTATGCTGACAATGTTCATTGTTTATAATGGATAGCAGATGAAACGTTTTGCGAAGGGTAGACAGGGAGGACATATAACGTAATAGACTATTTATAACATAAAACATCTAGACGAGGAGAAGCACAAGGTGGAAGGATGGGGGATTATTTTTCCTTTACTGGGCCACGCTTACCTTAGGCTTTGAAGAGGAAATTTATTAGCGAGAACACAGTAAGCTGCTTTGCGTACAGATTCACTCACATCCAAGGTACAATCAATGATCACTTGAGAGGTTACGCTAGAAGGAGGTAAAGATAACACAATCATTTTACGAACGTCCTGCAAAGTTTCCAACATTAATTATGGTAAAACCAGGTTTCCTACATTTATGTAGGAATACTCCGTTAATTATCAGTGGCACCAGATTAGTGATAAGAAAACCAAAAAGACACTCACCGCATTCTGCTCCAATGGAAGCACCTCGAGAAACAAATCAAGGATGTCTCTATTATCAGAGTCATTCACAAAGCGAGAAAGTGCCCTTACTGCAAATGTACGAATGAGAGGGATCTTATCTGTTACCCTCAGCTTCATGCATTCTATCATCTCATCCCACAGGTCATCACTCACTTCTGCATCGTCTGGCAACCGCAATATGATCTACAAACATGTGTATGTAATATAACAAAAACCAAAGATATCAAAGCAAGCAGAAGGCATCTGTTGGATAACCCCATTAATAACTCGTGATAAGTTGTTGGCACTGATCATTTTTTCAAAACAACTATTTTCCCCTAAGTATCTAGATAATGAATACTGTTAGCTTTAAAAATGAATATCCAGGTCGTCCAGAGGATGGACCCAAGTATTCGTTAATTAAATGCAATATCAACTTAAATCTCCAGAATAAAGCCATAAAATCAATAATAAAATTCAGGAAAGCTAAGTTGAACTCTGAATTCATCATAGAAGTAACCGTTCAACCACTTACAGCCAGCTCCATAAGACCGAAATATCCAAAAATATGTAAATATGGGTAATATATAAATTCAAATCTCAGAAAAATTTAATTAAACAGCACGAATGAAAACCCCAAATGTTCACATCTTTCCGACAAGGTAAGCCTAACAATCCATACCTCGGAAACAATCTGACATGCTCGAAACCTCGCAGTCTTGCTGGCTGCTGCAGCTGCAACTAGTAGAAACTTGAGAAAAAGGTCCAAGAATTCATCGTAAATGGAATCATTCCCGTTGTCACGGACACTGGCAAAAACGGAGACAAAGCGGACTACACGTTCCACAGAAGCAAGGCGCTTCTGGAAATCAAAAAGGGGAATTAGGGCAGTGGAGAATGCAAAGAAGAACTCGGGGAGCGAAGACGATTTCGAACCGAGAATGGAGAGCTCCTTGAGCTTTCGATTGTGAGTGGCGTAAGAGGTTCGAGCCTCGTCCAATAATTTAGCAATTTTCTGCGTCAGATGCTTCTTCTCTTCGTCGGTATCCCCCATCTCACTGAGCTCTACGTGGTGGTTGGAGCGGTGGGATCTGAAGATTCTGAGCGTCGTTTGGTTTTTTGAAAAAGAGCGGGAGATTACGTATATCAAACCAACTTGGGCCTTGATTGAACTTTAAATTGAATCTCAAACGAAGAAGTCCAGTGTTGCAAAAAAGACCATTGATGACTGGGCCTATTTTACATTATCTATAAATATAGTAATACACATTGCTTTGGTAAAATTAAAATCCTTTTCTTTTCTTTTTTTGTTAATTAGCTGCCATTGCTAATACACATAAAAGCTGAATTCGATCAGAGTTGCACAACATATCGTTTTAAATAAAAATGGGACCATCACAGTACAAAAGCTTATCGAATGCTTTGGCTCTTTATTTTTTCATTTTGTTAAAAGCAAACATTGGAAGTGAACATCAAAATGCCCACTTATAAGTACAAGGACATGAGCTTATTTATGAAGCTCATAAAGACATGCATGCATGCTTATTGGTTATAGAAATATGGAATATATTCCTTATTATAGGACCTTTTTTTATTAAAAAAATATATAGATTATAAAGCATGCATAATGGAAGTTTAAATGTCAGTGGTAATTATCAGGAACTTTAAAGTTTAAAGATTGAGATATGCAGCTTGTGTGCATGCAACTTTAACCGAAAGCTCTTGCCCAAAAAGAATAAAAATAAAAGCCTTTGGGCTTTGGATGAATGGTCCATGAATTATAGAGACAGAATATGTTCTTTATCACAGGTGTTGGACAGGAAAAGAAAAATAAAAGTGCCGTTTTGCAGAAAACAGTGTGTGTTTTGGACCATTCAAGTCCCCCACAAAGAAGATTCTTTGGAACAGTGAGCATCAAGTCCCACCATATATTTCGGTGGATAAACGTCGAGCTCTGCAAAATACTTTTCTTCTGATCACGATAAGCTTTTTTTTTTTTTTTGTTGGGGTACAATGATCACGATAAGCTTTGCTTTCAAGAAATTCTGCAAGATTTAGCACACGTACGTTAAAATCTGAGTAAGCAGTCACAAAATTGGTGTCGACTTTGAAAAAGAAGAAGCTGTTTGGTTCTCTCATCAATTATTAAAAGATATATTTTAAATTTTAAATAATTAGATTTGGAGTAATTTTACCCTCCATTTAAGACAAATATCTCTTGCTTTTAAAAAAGGAGTAAAGTACCCATGTTACAATAATATTTTAAATAGGCGTCAACGCTGCAAGAAAAAATCTTTTTTAAAACAATATTTAAATTTCAAATCACAATATTTGCAATTTTTTGAGTGAAGGTAGGAAAGAGAGTGAAAGTGAAATTTGAAAAACATTGCATGTTGAGCCCTATTTTTTTAAAAAAAATAACAGACATTTATTTAAATTTAATGGTGGGAGTGAATTTATCTTAATTTTAATTAGTTGGTATTTAGAATGTATTACATATGAGTTTAGAATTTAAATTGTCTTTAACCTATAGTTTGGATTCCAATTACATATTAACCTATTGTCAAATATTTCTTCTATTTTACAATACAGGTTTTCTTTTTTATTCGCAAGCAGTTTTCTATTAAAACCAATTATATTTGGGGCATATACAAGTTTTTTTAATCTTGATGAAATTTTTGTTTCATTTTACGTCCAAAGTAACATTTTTTTTTTCATTGTACCTCTTATTTAGTCAAATACTTATATTGCCTTAGTTTGGAATGCATAGGTCTTGTCTTGAATTTTATATTTAAAATCTCATACTTCAAACTTTTGTATATAAAATACTGACACAAATTTTAAGGTCAAAAGAGAGAGGGAGAGACGGGTGAGAGTCAAGTAGAAATAAAAAATTTGAAAGTGACAGGTTCAACTCTATTTGTTTATTTATGGTCAAGAACAAGGTTGAAAGATAAAGGTAACAGAGATACTAACAATAAACATGCAAATAAAATGAAAAGGTTAAAGCAGTTGAAATTTTAATAATTAAGAGCTAAAAAAATTTAAAAATGCAAATAGGTCATAATAAAATAGAAATTTAGATTTGAATTAATTTAAATTTATATAGTTTTTATGTATTCAAAAAAGGATTTGGATGCAAATCTCATACCTCCAAACGTAACTGTAATTTATTCAACATTTTAACGAGGGCGAGTTTTATGTCAATGCGTCAAAACTTGGCATCAGTATTAACAGCATTTCATAATTTATTATGTGCCTCAGCCTTAAAGACTTATATTATAAAATAAAAGGAGCACTACTTATTATTAGCAAAGGCTAGTCCAATTAATAAAAATTTAATTTATAATTATAAAGTTTTGAGTTCAAATCATGCTGCCAGTGTAATAAACTTTGTCAGTAGCAGGGCAATTTGTAAATACTTGCGTAACTGTTACTTGAAATTGAAAAAAGCATGCATGACTATAAACTTTCAGGATCCCACTCACTGAAACTTTATGATGGATGCATATAAATGAGTGCTAAATTGTGGGCTTCTCACCGTCACTGTTTAATCATCACCAATGAAACTGTATTACATGTTGCCACAAATTTTAGTTTGCTTTTTTTTCCTCAATAAACATTAAATTAAAACAATGACCCTTGCTTTAAAAAAAAAAAAAAAAAAGAAAAGCCTAGTTACAATTTTTCTCAGACGAATGATATGAGAGAGAGGGAGTGGGAATTGAAAAACACTGCATATCATGCCCTATTTTTTTAAAAAGTAATGGATGTTCAGTTTAATTTAATTTTAACGGTGGATGTGAATTTGCTCTAATTTAATGTTTAGTATTCAAAATGTATCAAATATAAAGTTTAGGGTTCAAATCATCCTTAGACCTATAGTTTATAATTCAAATTATATATTAACCCATTGTCAAATACTTCTTTTATTCCATAACACACGTCTTTTTTATTATTCATAAGCATCCTTCTATTAAAAATAATTATATTTATTTAAAAATAATTATATTTGGGACATACACAAGTCTTTTAATCTCGATGAAAATTTCTATTTTGTTTTTGTCCATCATAACATTTCTTATTTTTTTCATTACACTCTTATTTAATCAAATAACTTATATATGTAGCCTTCACTTGGAATATATAAGGTTTTGAGTTTGAATTTTAGATTTAAAATCTCTTACTTAATTTTGTATGTTTAAAATCTTTATTTAGATAGGGGGTAAAAAATTTTGAAGGTAAAAAAAGATATAGGATGTGATTCAAAGTAGAAATGAAAACTGGGGTAATGAATTAACTCCATTTTTCTATATGTCAAAAACAAGGTTGAGAGATAAGAGTAGTAAGTAAAGATACTAACAGCAAACATGTGAAGAAAACCAAAGAGTCACAGTAGTTAAAATTTTAAATAATTAGGAGCTAAAGGAAATTTGAAATTGTAATGAAGTCATAATAAAATATGAGTTTAGATTTGAAATTAAAATTCATATTTTTGCATGTATTCGAAAATGAATTTGGTTCAGATCCATCTTTTCATGTATCCAAACGTAACCTCAATTTATTCAACGCATTAACGAGGGCAAGCTTGATGCCAATGCAATCAGAATCTGGTATCATAATTAATTGCATTTCATAAGTTTATGCCTCAACCTTAAAGACTTATATTGCGAAATAAAAAAAGGAGCACTTAACTATTGTCGCAGGTTAGTCCAATTAGTATATACTCAATTCATAATTATAAAGTCGTGGGTTCAAACATACTACCACAATATAATAAATCTTATTAGTGGCGGGCAATTTGGTAAATACCTCTCTAACCGTTTTTGACATCAAAAGCAATGCATGACTTATAAACTTCTGGAATCCCGCTTGCTGAAGCTTTCATTATATATACAATGTATAGGTAAATGAGTCCTAAACTGCAGTCTTCTCACCATCACTTGTTAATTGTCACCAGTGAAACTGCGTTACATGTTGCCACATATTTTATTCTGCTTAGTAAACTTGATGCATTTGGATCCACCGAGCCTGCAGCTAGGTCACGCATCAGATTCCAGGAATAACATGTACAAGTCAACTTAATTATATTTTATAGCGTTGTTTTGTGATGAAACTGATTATTTATAACCATTGGTTCATTGGAAAGTGTTTAATTTATTCCACTTGCAGGGATACTACATGGTGAAGTTGGTATATATAAAGTCGTCTTCTGTAGCCTCTGAATCTGATCATAAAACATGCATTATGTGACGCTGGACTCGCGGCGGCAAATGTATGACTTCGTCCTTCTTACACTATGTTCTGGCCTGTTTAACTATATATAAATTGTTTATTGATTTTCCTCTCGTTGACGTGGTTAAGATAATCCGAGGAAGCGCTCTCACGATGATCTCATCACATCGCAATAATAATGGCATTTTTTAAAGAAAGAACAGGCCAGGCACCATCATTGCCCATTGAATCCTCTGGAGAGCGTGTCGGGAAATTGTTAATTGTTATTGCGAGCATAACTAATGTCCAGTTGCAAGTTCTGTGACAGAGAATACTGCGGGGCTTCTGAAATAAACATATATCATGTGATGTTGCATTAGACGTTGTACTTGTTTTATATATAAGTATATATATACATATGCTATGAATAGGGGGGGTCCGAATCTACAATGATACATTTTATATTGGAAATTAACTGCATGCCATTAAATGTGTGTCTCTATGTGCACTATTCCTGAATCTTCTCCAACGTTTAACGTAAAAATAGGGATATTGAAATTTGCTTTTATTATCAACTTATTCACTTAATTTAATTTTTATTAATTTAATCTTTTATTTTTGTCTTGGTTATTCGTTGTTATGAATACTGTTCAAAATTTATTGATGTGGATGAGTAAAAAAGTGTTGATGACAATCATGTACATTAATGAAAAAATATAACTTTTCATGTAGAAAAAGCCAAATTCAAAAGTATATTAAAACAGAGTGACAAAATATAGCATAGGAGATTACATGGATAAAAATTAAACTAATTAAAGACTAATTTATTATCATTTACTCCCTCTATTGAAAAATACAAGACATTTTTTGATAAGTTGAATGTTAAAAATATAAGATATTTTTAATTTTTTGAGGTGTAATCATTATTTTTTTTTCAAAAGTGCCCCTATTCATAATGATTTTATATTTATTGTAGGGTGTTTTATAAGGATAAATATAGAAAGATAATGTTAGTTAAAAGTAGATAACTATTTTATTGGAGTACAATTTGATTAAAAATATCTTACATTTTTAAATGGAATGAGTAACTATATCTGCATGCCAAATCACCAACATACTTTATACATTATATTAATATAAGGCTTAATTTGTATTTTAAAACTCAAAGGATTATTATAAAATTTAAAAAATATAAAAAATTAGATTGATAAAAGTTACATTTACAAAGTTAAATTGACAATTAAAACTAATATGAGGCATTGGAAGTTTCATAATTCCGTCAAAATACTACACATGTTTCTGCCTTGTTACGAGACATTGTGGGCGCGTGGGTGCAAATAAACATAGACGTGCAAGGTGATATCACAAGGAAAGTCCTTTTCTTCGTAAATCATTTATCCGCCCGGAAATCAATTGAATTAATAAACTTTGGCGAAATTGTGACCCTTCGTTTTTTTTTTTTAAGAAAAAAGGGGGGTGTGGCTCTTCAGGAATCTCAAGCTAGTTTCTTTCCGTCGAAAAACAAAAAAAGGAGCACTATTTTTGATGAAAAATAAAAAGAATACAAATTGCATCCTGCAATTATCAATCTAGAGAGAGATACGTATAAAGACAAGGGTACAAAATATTAAGAAATGAGAAACCAAGTAGGTGATAGTCAATTCCTATTTATCCTTGCACAGGCAAACTAAAACACGAAAGCTTTTTCTGGGGAAAAAAATACAAAAACACGAAGTTATGCGTAAATAATAAAAGAGAAAAACGTATTGTCTAATTTTTTTTTTTTATTGCAAAAAGTATATGTAAGCTGGATATGGGGTTCACCGGTGCTTATCTCCAAATTTTAAATTTTAAAAAGTATTTATATATGGGCCTATCAATGACAT